GCATTAATTCTCTGTAGTTAAAATTAAACCTATTTAGTGCTTGGACAGGTAGTCCTTCAATTATTATGAAAATCTTGACCGTTCTCAATGACTTAGCCCTTGAGATTTTTAGAAGGGAGAAATCTTACCATGTTATAATAGTAGAACGGTATGGCATTGTAACTAAATGAGTCACGGAATATGCCATCTTCGAAGAACATGCCACCTTCTCGGTAGCTCACATCACTTTTCCTATGACAAATGTATTGCATTAAGCAATACCGGTTCTAAAATTTTGTTTTCAGTTCATCTTTTAGGTCAATAACACCTAATACTCAAACAGAAATACTGTCTTAAAATAGTTAAGTGAGGATAATACAAATATTGCCTGTTGACATGAAGTGTTTATTTTGAAGAGAATTCTTGGCATTTTGGACCCACGTCAGCACAGTGAGTATTTGGAGCAGAGGAGGGGCACATTAATGTATTTATCAAGGATTAATGACCAGGTAGAGCATCATGGTGGGGAATGTGTTATGGATAGTACCATAAATGTAGTAATTAAAAAGCTCCACATGAAACACTTTGGACTGGCAAATATATTCCTTTCCTTCCCACAGTGGCTTGCATTCCAGAGAGTAATGTGTTGTTTATCTTGGTCTCTGCATTCTTAAAAGTGGAAAGAGGAATGGCAGTCTCAACGATTGGTTTCTGTGTGTGAGTGTATCTCAGTGGTCAAGTGCTCGCCTAGCTTGTGCCAAGCCCTGGTTTTCATCCAAGCACTGGGGAAAAAATGTGTATATATATTTTGTTCTCAACATATTACTTATTGATTATGGGCAGAATCAGACTGGAAGGATCAAGCTGCTTTTTCACAGCTAGGAAAAAAACTGTCACATAGTGTATAATAAAATTTATTCCTCCTCACTTTTGGAAGTTCTATCATTGAAGTTATTTCCAAACAAATACTTAGTGCATTCCTGTATAATATATGTGTTCAGTATGATCTGTGATTACTCACAGCTTATGTGTTAAAGGGAAACTGTAATAGAAATGCATAGGTATTAGGACAAAGACTGCACCCCAATGAATTTTCAGAATTTTTGAGGCACAAGGCTTGATGCTGTCCTCGCTGTTCATCTTGTTGCCCCATGGGTTATAGCTAAGCAGGTTACTGTGAGGGTGAACATCTGGGAGAAGAGGAACCATGTGGCTAGAATGATGATTCCATCCTTCCAGAACAACAAAGAAGGCAGATAGATGTAGTCTTCAACTTCTGCTCCTTTGTCTGCTTGAAATCTTCACGCCTACCTATTTTCCACTTACAGGGCATCTTTTCATAGTTTCTGAAAGCAACCTACTTCTATTTATTTATGAGTTCATGAAGGTTTTCTTCTGTGCCAAATAAATGTAGTTAAATGTGATTTACAACTTCCCTTTAAGGTAGGAAGAAGACTGTTTCTCTTCTCACCATCTAATTAGCCTCCTTACCTCTTAGTTGTAAAAATTATTCAGTTATACACTGGTTTATTGATTTATTCCACATTTATTGACTGCTAACTGTCTCCTGTGCTTCAGGGATACAAAGATGAGTGGCCCAGTTAGTGGCTTTGGCTGCCTTTCATACCAGCTCCATGGTGGCTGATGTCAGTGAAGAGGCCCTAAAAGGCTCTCAGCTCCAAAAGTGACCTGGATCACATTCCTATGTCGAATAGTTTGAAACTGTTGGAATAGCCCAGGGTTTTTGAGATCACCAGGTAGAAAATCTGTTCTTCAAGATGTTTTCCATTGTGTTCGATTTCTAGTGAACTTTGATGCTTTTGCCATTACTGGGACATATTCCAAGAACTCAGTCGCTCTACTCCATTTCTGCATTTCTAAACCCTGGGTAGAAAAGTTCAGTGTGCCAGCAGTTTCAGAGGGATAGGAATAGGAAGTCTCTAGTAGGTGCCAGTGTCGGCTCCACTTCTCCTTTCTGCTTTTATTTGCCAGTGTCTGTCAGTTATGCTAGAAAGGGTGTTATGCTAGGAATTGGAGGCACTCAGGAAGGCTGGAGGGTGGTTTTGGTTAATGAAACTCTATGTAAGCCTTGGGAAAAATTAGCACCCAAAGCCTAGGATCATTTTAGGAAGAGCTTTCTTCTAAATCATTTGCATATGTATTATTTAAATTCTACCACAGGTGTGCTTGTCCAATAAATGCTTTTCCCTGCTTTCATGTGTACTGTCATGTATGTTTGTTCACCTTCAAACAGGGTTGGAGTATTTTCATTGGGGGAGGAGGTTCAAATGCCAGAGACCAATAATTTTAAGATCTGTGCCCTCAGATATTTGTCACCTCATTCTTGACAAAAGCCTTACCAAGTATATTCATTCTCTCTCTCTCTCTCTCTCTCTCTCTCTCTCTCTCTCTTTTTTGTGTTTTTTTTCAGAGAGACTCTCTCTCTATAGAGCT